TTTTATATATTTTTTTTAAATTTTTTTTTTACTACCTATGCTAATGCTAACCTGGGCAAATAGTACTGAGTCTTTTTGAACCTCAGATTTCTGCTCTGTAAAATGGAACTGCCACTTTTTGAGTACTTATATGTCAGGAACTGTACTAAGCACTTTAAATATACTCACTTGTTCTAGATTTTTTTTAAATACACATATTTAAGTTAATGACTGATACATGATAGATTTTCAGTAAGTAGTAGCTGCCACTATCACAGAGAGCTCTGGTGGCCTAGTGGTGAGGAGATGCACTGCAGTACCAAAGGCATAGGGTTTGAATTCACAAGCTGTCCTGCTCAAGGATGGGTAGTCTCTTATGTGAATTATTGCATCTGAAAACCTGCTGGAGGATCAGCTATGGAGTCCATGAATGGCTCAAATTAATGTACTCACCTCATAATTGGAAATTGGTATAGTTTGAGTCCACCAGGAAGTACCTCAGAAGGAAGGATTAATTATTAACTTCCAAAAAGCTAGCCACTACAAACCCTATGACCACAGTCCTACTTTGACACACATGAGGTCACCAGGAGCCACAACAGACTCAAAAGCAACTGGGGGTTTTGGTATAATTGTCAGGTTCAACTTTTCACTGGTTCAGGAGAAAGGAACACTCCACCTTTGCCCTCTTGCATAATCTTGCACTCTCTCTCTCTCCCAAAACTGTAGGTGATGAATATAGGGGACCAGAAAGTGTGGGATCAAGGACTAATTCCTGGCATTCCTAAGGGATTATAATTTAAGACTGTAAAGGAAATTAATACATCTGTATTCTCTCGAGCACCAGAGTTAAGCAGGAGGAAGAAAAACCAACAAACATTCACATGATGTCAGAGAACTTGAAAGCAAGACCAGTAAGACAGAGGTGTGACTGGTAATGTATAATTGGAATTGATGATAATTACTGATTAAGAGGTTATTCCTCATTGTTCTTCCTACCTTCGAAATTGCCCCTCCCATGCATCCATAGAGCCCAAGTTCCTTCACTAGAATACAAATTAACCCAGGTCACCCCTAGTTGAAAACTCTCGTGGCTTCCCATCATCTTCTGAACAAATACTGCCTGATAAATGTTAACTTTTCTCTCCGCACTGTGATTTCACTGCCCTGCACCAGTGGAGGCTCTACAAACACACCAGGGACCCTCAGCTCTTACTTGTCCTACTGGTTTCATCTAAAATGTCACTTCCTCCAAGAAGGCTTCCCTGATACCCTCAGATTTTATCAAGTTTCATAGGACCTGTCCTTATCCTTGTGACTAGATTGCAAACTCATGAAGTTCATAACTGTCACCACACACAGCATCCAGCACACGAAGCGCTCATTAAGTACAAACGAATACATAAATAATTCTTTCAACATTCTGGTGCCCTTCTTAATTTTATTTTAAGATGTGTGTTTCCCCAGATTAGTCCATAAACTTCCTTAAGGCAGGAATGTATCTCATTCAACTTTCTATGTCTGATGCCCAACATTGAAATACTCAATAAACATTGAATATTTAGATGAATAGAGACTGAGTCTATAAAGTCTGGTTAAATGGATGGATGGATTTTCTCTCTCTGTCATTGTCATCAAGTCGGAACCATAGCTGACCCTCTAGTGAGTTTTCAGAGGTATAAGTGACACAGGAGAAGATTCCCTCCTGAGCAGCTAGTGGACTTGAACAGCATACTTTTGGGTTGACAGTGCAACTCCTTACTCATTAGGCCACCAGAGTTCAGGAGTGGATGAATACGTATAAATGATGGTATGCATAGAAGTTATCCCCCAGCCACTGAACTTTTTCATTTACTTCCGTGTATATGTGCTGGAATCAGCTATCATCTCCCAGAAAACCCAAACCAGCTAGCTCAGTGATGGGTATATACCAAATAGCTGGTCCCCAAGTCCCCTATAGCAGCCACCACCACCTCCACTGCCCCCATCCTGTGAAGCCCCATTCCCAACCCACCCACAGACCTGGTCCTTGGGCTCTTGGCTGACCAGCCAGAAGAGGAGAAGGTTGTTACAGGTGATATTCACTTCCGGAAGCGTTTCTAGGTAACTCTTCAGGGTAGTGGTCCCCTTGGTCTGGGGTGGGGGCTGCCTCATGGATGATGGAGCATTGGGCATCCAGGCCCCAAAGTCGTGCTGTGGAGACCCCCACACCCACAATTAGGTTAGCCAGAGAATGGGAAAAGACTAGCTCCCTCCTCCACTTTCCTGACTCCCTCATCCCAGGCCTTACAGCTGGGGGATGAGGAGATCGAGATCATGGAAAGGGAAAAGAGTACAGGGTGTAACATCCCAGAAATAGAAGTCCAGGTCACCCCCTGCCACTCCCTACCCAATGTTTCAGGACTGGGTGGAGTGACTTACTAAGGGAAAAGGAGGATCCAAATAAGAAGTAACCCTAGAAAAGAGCCTTGGTCTGTCATGGCAGACCGAGCAGCCCCACCTAGCCAGGTCCCAACCCTAACCAAAGCCCATAAATTCTGCTTTCAACAGAACATCAACCCGAGCCACCATTACTGCCTTGGACCCAGCTCCACCCTAGTCATTACCCAACCCCAGCCCCTCACTTCACCTAGTGGTCACCCCACCTTCAGCCCTCATTGTCGTCCTACCCCAACCTTGACCATCCATGCTCTCAGCCCAAAATCTGGCCTCAAGTCCATTCCTGGACATAACCTCGTGTGTACAGCACCCCTCTCCCCCAGACCTGCCCTCCACAGCCTTACCTGTCCACTGTTGACAGCAGCATGCTGCGCAGAGCAATTAAAAATAACTGCAGTGAGGAACTTCACCAGCTCTGCTGGGGTGCACAGACAGCTAGGAAAGCCTGGGTGTGGACGGAGAGGGAAGAGGGCTCCAGTGAAGGCTACAAGATGCCAAGGGGCTGGGCAAGATGCAGGGCAGGGCAGCGGCTCAGTGGGGAAGTTTCTGGCTGAACATTTGACCACCATTGTCTTGAGTTGAGGATTAGGGTCGGTCATCCCCAAACTTTGTGGTCTCTGAGGCAGTGCAGATAAGAGCTGGGGGTTGGGATGGGACCAGAGACCACTGGGCCAGAAGAGCTCATGACAGAGGCACTGGTTCAAGTCAACAGCCAAGCCTGCCTCTCCCTAACTTCACAACACGTCTACAGCAATTATTCCCTTTTATCCAGTTCACCAAGCTCTGCACGAGCACCTAATAGTGTACCATCCTCTCCTGATGTGCTGTTTACAAGCTCTCAGCAATGGAAACAAAAGTCAACCCCTGAGGCCAGGCACTGATTGAGGAGAGGCACAATGGCAAAAGAAGTTACAGAGACCTTTCTGGAAGAAGAAAAGGAGCCTGCCTGAGGTGAAGGATAGGTGCGTTTTGAATGGAGTAAAGGTAATAGTTGTTAAGTGCCGTCCAGTCCAGTCGTAAGCGATTCATAGCGACCCTATGAACGAAAGTCCTGGACACCTGTATAACTGTCGTCCTTTCTCCAGGTTCAAAGGGTTTCCAAAGGCAAGCTATTATGGAAGTGGATGTCACTCCTGCTTCCAAGCTTGTTAAAGGTAATAGAGGAAACAATTTTGTAAGTCTGGAGGAAGAAGGAGCTCTGGTAGCATACTGGTTAAGTGTTTGACTCAGCAGGCAAAGCAGTCAGGCTCTGTTGTTGTTGTTATTAAGTGCCATCGAGTCATAGACGACTCATAGCAACCCTATCAATAACTTTCATCATTTCTCCAAGTTCAGAGAGTTACCAGAGGCAAGCTATTTCAGAAATGGATGCCACTCCTGCTTCCAAGTGTGTTTTAATTGGGGCGCTGTTTGATTATGGATACAATTTTTTAAAAATCACTAATAAGTATATATGTAAGATATATGTTGTTTTTAAGTGCCATCGAGTCGCAGGTGACTCATAGTGACCCTACGAAGGAGAGTCCTCCCTCAACGCTTGGGTGTCTCTCATCCTCTCTCCAGGTTCATAGGGTTTCTGGAGGCAAACTCTTATGGAAGTGGATGCCACTCCTTGAAAAACCCTCTGGAGTGAACTGGTTGCTATGAGTTGAAATAAATACGACTGCATGTTTTTAGTTTCCATTTTTTGGAAGGAGAAGAGCACTTGGGCTCCATTCTCTTCCTCTCTGGGCCTCAGTGACCTCCCCCAAACCCCATGGCTGTAACCACTCTCCCTTTCTGATTACTCCTACATTCACCTCTAGGCCCTGGACTCCAGACACAAATCTAGAGCTGCTCACTTGACATCCCTGCCTAGGCATCATCTACCTGGCATCTCAACAAAGACTCCGACCGTCAGGTCGGTTCCAAGTCAGTGACCCTCCCTCAGTTTCCGAGGTCTGAATGCTTTACTGGAAGAGCCCACCCATCTTTCTCCCAGGGAGCTGCTGGAGACGCTCAGCCTTTGGATTATCAACGCATCACCCACCAGAGCTCTCCATCTCCAACTCAGCTTCTGCAAAACCAAACGCTTGTTGCTCTTCCTACAAATACTTCCCAAAACTGTTCCTCCCATGGTGGTCTTTGTCTCATAGACTCCTTATCACAATCTGATCATCTGAGTATCTGCACATACCAGTTGGCAAATCCTTCCAGAACCCAGTTCTCCTTCCTCTGTCTTCCCGATGATTCCTCCTGCTTCCTCCCTCCTACAGCCCTTTCCACAAGGTAGCATGAATGAGCCTTCAAAATCGCAAGTCAGATGGTGATGCCCATTTACTCAAGACTACTCACAGGAGCTCTGGTGGTGTAGTCAGTAGGGAACAGCACTGCTAACTCAAAGGCCATGCCTTGCTGCTGGTTCAAGTCCACCAGCAGGAGAAAGATGGATAATCTCGTCCCACACTTTGGAAACCCAATGGACGGTCAGCTCTGAGTCAGTTTCAAATAGACAGCAATGAACGAATGAGTTACTCAGAATCCTCAAAACGCTCACCTACTGTAGGGCTCCTTGGCCTGGCTCTGGCTCCTTCTTGGCTTCATCTCCTTTCCCACTTTTCTCCCTGTCACATACCAGCCTTTTCTAATATCCTTCAAACAGATCAAACCCTTCTAGATCTGGGTCTTTGCACCAATGACCCCTCTGACTCAAGTTGTCCCTCGCTTTCTTCAGGTTTCTATGCAAACGTCACTTCCTCCAAGAGGCCTCCTCTGTCTGATGTAGTCTCCCCTGTGTGACATCCCTGACTCAGTTCCATTTTCCTTCTCAGTACTCATAACTGTGTGTCACCTCTGGGAGGTTGAGGCCTGTCTTTTTCCACAAGAATGTTAAGCACCACAAGGGCCAGGATTTGTGTCTATCTTGTTCTCAAAACCTCAGCATTAGAACAACACTTATGAAACATCAGGAACACGGTAATTATAGGCTGACTGGAGTCATGAAAGAGTAAGAAGCTAGAGTGGGGAGAGATGAGGAATACATAAGGGGAGGGGAGGGCCCTTAATCAGAAGGGAGGCTGAAACAGTACAGGTCCTGTTGTTGAGGCACTTACTCCCGAGGATTACTGGGGCGGTGGCCCTGCTGGTGTGGCTGGCAAGAGGAGAGGTGGGACCCATTGAAAAGCAGTAGCCACAATAGTTTGAGGTGAAACGCAGGAATAGTTTGAGGGACTAGGGTGGTAACAGTGGGAAATGGTAAGGACATAAGAGATTAGCCACCCAAGTGGCTTGAGCGAGAGAGGAAGGCAGAGAGAGGGACATGAGTCAAAAGTGGCTGTGAGTCCAGAGTCAGAATGACTAGCAGGATGTTGTAACAGAACAGGCAGTGAGGTGGGGAGGAAGAGCCAGGTGTCAGAGTGTGAGAATTTCCTAAATGTCCCCTTTGTGATTGGGACCTTAGCTTGAGGGCTAAGGATTTTTCTGGGTCTTATTTCTTTTTTTTTTTCCCTTGAGATATTGGGGGAGGCAGGATATCATACTCACTGAGCATACTCATAAATTACTGTGCTTTAACTTTAAAACATACCATGAATGAGTTTATAATAAGCCTGCATTTGTCGATGAGCTGTTCTGATTTATTGACTCAGAGGCAAATTTAATAAAATAAGATAGAACCATTGATCCAACATCAATTAGATCCTATTCAGGGTCTTAAATAGGAAACTCATGCCCATTGTTAATTCTGACTCAATGTGATGCTACAGGACAGAGTAGGGTTTTCCAAACCTGTAATCTTCATAGGGGAGCTCTGGTGGCTTAGTGGGAAGGAGTTGTGCTACTAACCCAAAGTCTCATGGTTTGAATCCACCAGATGCTCCCAGATAGGCAACCTCTTCCTCTCCCCCTGTGCATGATTAACAAGGTACATGATAACAACTACAACACTCTTTAAAAGGGGTGGCTGCCTTACCCCCATGGAGTGGCTGGTGAGTTTGAACTGACAACATTTCATTAACCATTATACCAGCAGGAGTCCTTACATAGGAAATTGATACCCAAATCTAAACTAGCTTCCCTGGGGGAAGAAGTAGTCACATTAGGACTGTTTATCATTAACAACATGTTTTCAAAGCACAGAAAGGGGCCACCTTTTAAAAGATCCCAAACTACCTGAGCATCACCACCTTAACCCAGAAATCATTCTTGGCAATACTAGTATGTGTGACTATCTGATATTATGTTCCTCCCAATGTGATGTAACTCAGGATCACCTGAGAAACATTCTTGCCAAAACAGTTTAACGTTTAGATATGACTTCCGGTTTACAAGAAACCTAAGGGATAGAGGAACAAGATGAATAGTAGCATCACGAGGAAGCAATTAGATAAATGTGGAGAGTGAGACATGCAGAACCAGTAGTCCTGGCTGTTGAATAAGTTAATGCCATGTGATCTTAAGTCAGGGAGTGTGTGCAGGGTAAGTGTGTGGGGAGATGGCCTAACAGAAAAGACTTGAGAGTTGTCCTTGATTGGATTCGAGTCATCAGGATCAAGTGGAAAATTAAGATGACATTGGAGATTATTGCCAATTCTATAAAGCATAACAATGGTCTTGGGTTGTGTTGAAAACATTCTTTTTAAGAAAATGTAAATTCATCAGGGATGAAATATCACTTAACTTTAAAGGGCTTCAGTGAAAAAGAAAAAGCAGCAGATTAAGCAAATAAGGCAAAATCTTGGTAATTCGTTGAACCTGGGTGATGGGTAATTGGATGACTATTACATTGTACTCCCTCATTTTCTGCATCTTGGAAGGTGTTTGTTTCTTGAAAAAGAAAAACGTCTGACAGTATATTACATGTTGAGCTGCAAAGGCCGGTGTCAAGTTTATGCTATTTGGAAACAACCAAAGCCACGTCTGTCCTCCTGGGTCTCCCCCAGACAGGAACTGCTCTGGACGGCCTTCAGAAGACCTAAGGGGGCTAAGAGCCACATTCCTGCTGAGAGGAGATGTGCCAGGCAGTGAGGGTTTTCCATTTCAGGCCAGGCCTGGAGAAGCTACAGGATGGACAATTAAGCTTTTCCTTGTCTTCCCTGACATACAGATACTTTTAGGTTTTCTTTTTTATGTTCATACTTTTATGTATTTGAAGGTGTCTACAAGCACACAATTCTCTGTGGGAGAAGGATGGACAATCTTCTCACATGCAATTAACTTGCCTCTGAAAACCTGCTGGAGTTCCAACTGACTGTTCCAACTCCATTATACACAACAACAGACTACATAGTACTGTGGGTGTAGGAAAATGGGCTTTAAAGAATAGCAGCAGGGTGCCTATATATGCTCATGCAAGAGCAGACACATAGAGAAATTACTTCTATTGTTCTTGTATTGGTCTTAATAATTAGACAGCCAAACAGTCCTTCAGGGAACCGGGTCTGTGGAGTTGGAGACTTTCTATGTCTGGAAGGAAGCTACAGAGGAAAAAGGCTCATCCATTAGCAAGAGGAGTCAGGCCTGCGATAGACATGTGAAGAGGTTTGTAACCAACAGAACGGTGAGATGTCAGTGGCTGGAAGGTCACCAGAAAGCACAGGGCAGGAAAGGTTATATGTCAAAGTTCTAGAATCTTTGTACACAAAGAAGTTTGAGTCCAGAGATGGCTTCTATTGCATGAATGGAAACATTCGTGGAACTCAGCAAGCACAAAGATCAAGGAGGGACCAGAAAGAACAGGACAGTGTCTGAATCTGCTTCTGCTGCTTAAGATATGCAGCCTTCTCTGTGCCTGTTCCCTCATCTGTGAAGTGAGAATAATGAATATATGTGTGCTGCTCAGTAAAGAAACGCTAGGTCAGCACAAGACTTGACTTTAGGGTTAGAGGATGGAGGGTGTCAGTGTTATAGGTTAAATTGTGTCCCCCCAAAAAATGTGTCTATTTTGCTGGGCCTGATTCTCAGTGGTTTGGTGTGCTAGTTTTATGTAATGATATAATGTGGCAATTATATATAGATTTTCCTGATATGTCAGTCAGTTTTAAAAAGGAAAAGGAATCCAACGTACAGGGAGTTTCCCTGATGGGTGACCTGCAACACCTTTTATCTTCGAAGAGAAGTGAAAATCTTGTGAACCTTTGAGACCCAGGGAAAGATTAAAGTCAAGCACATGGAGGTCTTAAAGGAATGCTTGGCCTACAAATGCTTCGACAAGGACTTCTCTGAAATTACCAATTAACAGAGAGAGTGCTCCTATAGTAACACCATGAATTTTGACTTCTGCCCCCCTAAGGGAGCTCTGGTGGCCTAATGGGTAGAGTTATGCCTCTAACCCAAAGGTGGGGCCCTTCTGGCGGCTCACTCAGATCCACCCGAAGCTCCGCAGGAGGAAGATGGGCGGTTTCTTCCCATGTAATTTACAACCTTTGAAAACACACTGGAAGGCCAGCTATGAGTTAGTGAGCCTGCTAAATTGTAAGAGAATAAAATGCTATTAAAGCCGTTCAACTGTGGTATTTCTATCGCAACAATATTACATTAAGTATCTGTACCTGAGCTTTCCCGGCTCAGGAAGGCCTGAGTAAAAATCTCGCCAACCCAGGCCTGCAGCTCCGAGTCCTGTTGCACAGATGCATCACTGGGATAATAGTAGCTCACAATTTCTAAGACAAAGCTGCAGGGGAGAAAGAATGGTGCCTCTGTGGTGACCCTGCTTCCAGGCTCAGCATCCACTCAGGCGAGAGAGTGGCAGATGGCTGAAGGTTATTGGAGACCCTCAGAATGAGCCACAATCTGAATGGCCAGGCTGCCTTAAACTCCTCACTTCTGAATCTTAGGGGCTCAGGACCTGCTTCCTGCTCAGGGGACCTAGGAGAGAATGCAGAGGACCTAGGGGAGGATGCACTGATAGGAGTGACTCGCGCTGTGTCACTTCTCCATTCAGCTCCCATGAAGGAAGACCTGCTT